AGAGAGAGAGAGAGAGAGAGAGAGAGAGAGAGAGAGAGAGAGAGAGAGAGAACTCTCAAGTTTCAACTTGCCCCCTTGGACCAACAATGAACGAAGTAGATTTTCTTCACAGATGATAGACTTATCTTTTGTCAGGGAAATCTTTTTTTATAAACTTTTTTAAGCGCTGTAACACTTCCTGTGATAATGTCAATAGGAAAAAATGTGCTCAAGAAAGATATTTAACGGTCTACAAAGTGTTTAAAATTGTTATGCTAAATTTACTTGGGGACTTTAACCCAGAACAGTGGAACTGTTACTGTAAGTTGGCCTGGAGAACCTCTTCTATGTAGTAAAAATGTAGTGGTAACATTCCCCTACAGCCCAGTAGAATTATTACGCTACGTTTACCTAGAAAACGTCTTCTAGTAAAATTGTTACGGTAACATTCCTCCCAGCCCTGTAGAATTGTTACTGTACGTTTACCTGAGGAACCTCTTTTTTGGTAAAATTGTTACGGTAACATTCCTCCCTCCCAAGTGGAAATGTCACTGTAAGTTTACCTAGAAAACCTCTTCTAACAGGACAATTGTTAGGCCTATGGTAACATTCCCCACAGCCCAGTAGAATTGCTTCGGTACATTTACCTGGAGAACCTCTTCTACTTCTAATATAATTGTTATGGTGGTAACATTCCTCCCGGTCAGCCCAGTAGAATTGTCACTGTAATTTTACCTGGCTGGAGAACCTCTTCTTACAGAAAAATTGTTATGGTAACATTCCTCCCAGCCCAGTAGAATTGTCACTGTAAGTTTACGTGGATAACCTCTTCTTACAGGAAAATTGTTATGGTGACATTCCTCACATCCCAGTAGAATTGTTACGGTTCGTTTACCTGGAGAACCTCTTCTAGTTCTAGTAAAATTGTTACGGTAACATTCCTCGCCTAGTTGAATTGTCACTGTAAGTTTACCTAGAGAACCTCTTCTAGTAAAATTGTTATGGTATCATTCCTCCCATCTCAATAGAATTGTTACGGTACGTTTACCTGAAGAATTCCTCCCAGGCCAGCACAGCTTCCCTCAGTACGGCCGTATCTGGTCACACCAAGGAAGAAGTTGCCCACAAGAGAGGAGGTTCCCACGGGACTGATCTGTCCTTGCTGAGCGGCTGGGATAAACACAGCGCTCACTCGCCAGTCCATCTTCTGCAGCTGTCTAGAGCGGCCATATTGGAAGGCCGGGGAGGAGCCGTAACTTGGCTGTGGTGGTCACAATAGGGCGGGCATTATTGTCAACGAGGGGAAATACAGACAGGACATTGATGGGAAAATGGTG